GGCCCCCTAGCCAATTTGCGACCCATCTGACCGTGTAGGCATCAATGCCACAGTCGCCTAGGTTTTTAAGGAGAATGGGGTGGGAGACAGTGTCAAAGGCCTTCCTGAAGTCCAGAAAGACTACATCCACTGCAACACCCGCATCCAATGATTTTATGACCTGGTTGTAGAAGGCAATCAGGTTGGTCAGCCAGGACCTGCCCCTAATGAACCCATCCTGGTTGCCCTTGAGCATCATCCCCCATGTTGGTCCCTCACAGATGTGCTCCTGGATAATTTTCTCAAAGAGCTTCCCCAGGACCGAAATAAGACTAGTGGGCCTATAGTTACCTGGGTCCTCCCTCCTCCCTTTTTTGAAAATGGGGACCACATCGGCCTTCTTCCAGTCTTCTGGCACCTGGCCAGAGCACCACAAGTGCTTGTAAAGCCATGCCAGGGGCCCTACGATGACCCCAGCCAATTCCCTCAGCACCCTGGGGTGGAGAGCATCTGGACCTGCTGATCTGAACACATCTAGTCCTTCCAGAAGTTCCCTAACTCGGTCCTCCCTGACCCCAGGTCTAGCAGAGTCTCTCCTGAGTCTGTCCTGAATCCCAGTGGGGGAGACGTCCCGGTCCCTGTATTCTTTTCCTTTCATAAAGAAACAACAATCTTTTCAAATAACTAGGCAAAAATTATTAATTTAATGAAACCCAGTAAATTCACTCCTGTATAGCAAATGAGTAGATTCTTGCATGTATGCTGGTCCAATTCTAAAAAAAAGCCAAGTATTTCCAGTTCCCATTTAGTTCAGTGTGTCTTGTCTTACTCCTACTGAAGTTAGTGAAAAAATGTTTTCAATGCATGTAGAAAATTAACCAGTGGGATTTGCAGGTGCTCAGAATCGTGTAATTCCTCTATCGGTAACAATAAATCGACCAAGAATAGAACTCTATATTTTCTCTTATTTTTTTAATTTAACACAAATAATTAATGTTATATGAACTTAGATTTTGTATATGAGAATTCCAGAAACCTTTTTAGAAGGAACCTAAAGAAGCCACTGATGAAAGTTTGTAGCTGTAATATACAACAGCAGGTGCAAACCTTGTAATCCTTCGATTCCAGCTAGATTTAAATCTCTCTCTCTCACAGGTAGGTCTCCTGCAGTTTCATCAGCTGGAACAGACATAGTTTATCTGCGGATAACAAAATTCAAATGAAATCCTTTTTCATTTGTAACATAAACTGTGAAATGAGAAAAGAACCACAATTACATCATATAAAAAGAATAAAAAGGTAATGATAGATTCACTGTAATGATAGAATCATTACACTATTGTAAATCCTCTTGCCCCAAACATATGACTCAGGGGACATTATAATATTACAACTACAACTAAAAGTTTATGTCACATTTAAGCATAGAACAAACACATATTCCTTTCTACAGTACAGTACCTATATTTTATTTTTAAAATGGATATAGATTAAACATTTTTAATTGTCTTTTGTAAAGAACATAAGAGAAAACAATGAAGCCTCCAGGTAAGCATCAGTCTTCCCAGGGCCTGGCATCAGGTGCCCCAGGAACATTTAGTGACTCAAAGAATGTCTCAGAAAAATCTTAGAGACTGAACTACAAACAGCAGTATTTATTACTGGCTGACAATACTGTGACAATAGTGTCTATCCATAAACAAACGGCTCTCAGAACATTTATTTACTTTCACCAAAAACAAATATCTCATTTTCTTCTGACAGTAAAGCTTTATCCCAGAAATGTTTTCCTATGTACTGTATTTATGTATTTACTTGAATATAAACAGAGGGGGTTCTCCCTAATTAGCATGGGGAAAAAAGGCTCTCCCTCTTACATTCGCATACAAGAAGAGCTCATTAAACATATTGTCTATCATTAAATCGCTGCCAAAAGCAGCATGTGCTCAGTAATCAACTATGAAGTTGATTAAATGCAGTCAACGCTGACCATAAAACACATGGCCCACACCAGGCAAACATACTGATAGGAACCTGTGGGGCAGAGTTGTGCTGCTACCCAGCACATCCACAGGTGATGGATAGTGGAATGACCTTCAAGGAAGGTTAGCTGTGAAAAAAGCAGTTGTAGACCAAGCAGCAGCAGCACCATCAGGATGTGGCAAGGACAGCAGATGGCAATGGATTCCTTCCTGAAAAGCCATATATATCCTTTGATGGTGCTGTGACATGACGAGTACAGGTTGCCAGTGTAATAAACCTGCCCAATCCCCAGCTCTGGGTCTACAAGTCCTCACTGGCGGAGCAGGTGGAAAAAGATGTTAGAATCTCAAGAGCTGCAAAGGCAGATAAAGGCTGCAGCAGAATGAGATCCCCAGTTGTCTTGGTCTCTTTGCAATTGGATCAAGGTCCCTTTCCTGCAAAAGCCATCTGGAAGCTGATGTGCAGCAGCTTCTCCACAATAAAAGAAGTCATGGACAGGCATCTTCCAGGCCAACACATTCCTCGAGCCTTTTAGTGACCAGCTAATGGTGATGGGAGCAGGATTGTGAGGTCTGGAAGCTCCTAGTCATGAACTCAGATAAAGGCAAGTTACAAGGTCATACCTTGATGAGACAGGAGTGTGGCAGCTGTAACTGTAACTGACTAAGCAGCCCTCTTCAGGATCCTCTCTGCTCACCCCATATGGGTAGAGGACTAGAAAAGGTGCCCTAACTATTGCCTGTCAAATTCTGTATTTCTTCCTGACTGGATAACCTTGTCCAGTGGTACCATCTTTACCGAGGTTGAAAATACCAGTGAAGACACCATTATTTTCAGGACCTGGACCATCAGGATCCTCATGGACAACCCTAATAGTGAATGCCCAGAGCACTGCACTGCAATCATGGCCCAAGAACTCAGGCAACACAAAAATTGATGTAGCTGCCCTGAGCAAGACCCAGTGAGCAGGAGATGCGCAAGAGCTCAAAGACCATGAAGGCAGCTATACCTTCTCTTGGAAGGGTAAACGGGAAGGAGAACGCCCACTTCACCAAGGTGGTTTTGCCATTAAAAGTGAGCTCATAAACCAAATCACTGAGTTCCCTATGGGAATTAATGAGTGCCTCATGACTCTCCATCTTAAACTGGTGGGGAGCCAATATGGCACTATCATTAGTGTGTATGCCCCGACTCTTGACACCACCAATGAAACCAAGGAGGAATTCTACACCAACCTTTACCAAGTCCTTTTGCCATTCTGGAGGGAAACAGACGTATTTTTCTCAGTGGCAGAATTGGAAGGGACTCTAACCTTGTAAGAAGAAGCCCCATCTTGCCTACACCCCACCATTTTGTGCATTTCTTTTTCCTTCTAAGTAATAGCAGAGACCTAGCACTGCAAGTGTGTGGCAAGGCTCAGAGCAAGCCAGAGAGCTGACATGGCTTTCTGTAGGAGAAATCTACAAACTACATCTACATATCAATTGAACTAGAGTGCCACTAAAGAAAACAAAAGAACTAATATATCCACTTTAAAGCAAAGTCCGTAAGAGACAAGCCAAGCCAAGGTGCAGCGAAAACACGACTGTAAATACATCCTAGTGAACACATTCCCCTTTTGATTAAAACCTTTTTCCCCAACAGAAACTTCCCATATCTGTCTAAAGTTTATGCTAAATCAGTCTACTGCATCTAACCTAACTCACTTACTGTCCCTAGTGTTTGATCCTCACTACTGCCCATTTGCATTTATTGATTAAGATATATTTCATCTGTCTCATCTTTACCCTGGTATTCTTTATTTTATATCTTTTAACAAAGGTAGTTTTCTTTAAAGTCATACTTTGTATTACTAGAACTACTATTGTAAGAATGCATTGGAATTGTAATCCCTGGAATTGCATTGCTGCATTGAGGCTGGTTTCCTGAATGAATGGAAGCAAATCTGAGTGAGTGATTAAGTAACAGGTAGAACCAGCTGTGGTTACAAGTTAATGAGCAGCAATTAACAGCTCTGAGCCACAGACTGACAGGAGGAGGGTATTCAGTTTGAGCTGATCACTGGAGACTAATTCCTGGAACTAAGCACGCATCCTATTGACTGTAACCCATGACAATACAGCAAATAAGTCCGTAAGCGACGGGTGGATTTCCGAAACTGCACCATCAGGTGGAACCCCAGTGACTGTGACTGACAACTGTCATGCACTACTCAAGACCCATGTGGGACAGTGACCTCTGGACTGAGCAGCCATGATGCTGGGGGAAAAAAAAAAAAAAAAAATCACACAAGTCTGTCAGAAAGGGATAAAAGGCAGCGAAGCATGACCCACAGTGACGCCCTCTCATCCAGCACCCGACCTACTGAGACAGAAGGACAAGCAGGTGAACCCCTTCTGGAGAAGACATCACCCTGGAGGAAGCCGACCATTGACAACAGACTCGAGAGCCCCGGACTGGTATAAACCAACATCGGTGCTACACTACTATTGCAGCAGGTGTGTGCGTGTGTGTTAAGGTGGCCAGTACCCCTCATAACTGAAAATCTACTTTTATGATTTTATTGGTAACTTCACATCCCATATAATAAATTAGAATTTATTATGATCCTGTGAGTTGGTCCTTTGTAGCCAACATCTTTCGGAATGGAACCACTGGCAAGGAAGGAGTAGGAAAGGTCAACCCATCAGCATCTTCCTCTTGACCAAATGTGTGGAACATGGACTCACCAACACCGTTCCACCACAGAAACAGGCACAGAACATCATGGCAACACCCATGATCTAAGCACTGGCACCTGACTGACTATGTTGGCATCCGTGCCCAGGATTGCAAAGATGTCCACATCACTCAAGCTATGCCGGGAGCTGATGATCGCTGGACTGATCACCAACCCAGCTGCTCAGTGATGTCACTCAAACTGGCTCCCAAACCATGGCTGCAGCAAAAGCAATGCCAACAGAAGATCAATGTTGAAGGAGCCAAGGACCCAACCAAGCGAAAACTCTTCCACCACTGCCTCAATGAAAAACTGGTAAATTCCAATTAACAACAATGGGAAAATGCCAACAGCGTGTGGGGTGCTCTCAAGGCCACCATCATCAGTGCTTGTGAAGAGACACTTTGATTCTCTATCAGGAAACATCAAGAATAGTTTGATGAGAACGACTGGGAGATTCAAGAGCTGATTAGTCGCAAGTGCAAGGCCTTTTTTGGCTGGCAAAATGACACCATCTCCAAGCAAAAGAAATTGGATCTCCAACAAGCCAAGGCAGAGGTTCAAAGGCAGTTGTGATATGAAGAACAAATGGTGGGAAGACAAGGCTAAGGAGATTCAACATCTGGCTGACATCCACGATTTGCACAGCTTCTTCAGTGCCACCAAAGCCATCTACAGTCTGAGCACTAAGGGACTGTAACAGGGAATGCTGGTGCTATTACTGGAGAGCAGTGTGGCCCCTTTAAGGACAAAGTCTTTATACGACAGCCAGCAGAGCAGGGGTTAAAGGACAGTCCTGTTGTCAGGTCAGCTGAGTGGGGCCTCACATGACCAGAAGAGGGCTCAGGCCAGAGCTACATAAGCCTTGGGATCAAGCCAGTCAAGGAAGCCAGCTCTAAGAGTTGCAGAGTGTGGAACTCCTGACAGCAGCATGGCAGATCTGGGAACAAGAAAGAGCTACCCAGAGAAAGAGAGAGAGAGAGAGAGGAAGAGGGAAAAGAAAAGAGAGAGGGACACTTATTAAGCACATAAGTGGCCTTCATTTTTATGTTAAGACTGGTGGTTTGGGTTGGGACTAAGGGGCAGTATACAGAGGTCCCATTAGTGTCCTAGGGGCATGCGATTGTCTTGGGCCCTGCTGGGGCAGGTTCACAGCTGAGTGGGGCTGGGGTCCAGAAGCCAGGCTTAGGGCAATGGGCCTGGGCTATGGGACCAGCCAAAGTAGAGGAGTGGAAGCTGGGAAGACTAAAGCCCCAACAAAAGAAGGAAGACCTGGAGTGGCCTGGAGACAAAGGGACATGTATCCTACCTGACTGGTGACTCAAAATCTGTGAGGCATGGGGCATGGTGTAGGGAAAGTACGGAGCCATGCAAATAGCCCATAAGGCAGGGGTGGGCAATTAGTTTGGCTGGAGGGCCACTTAAGGAGTTTTGGTGACCTGTTGAGGGCCATATGGGTAGCCCTGCCACCTGACAGGTGCCCCATCCCCTGGTTGCCATCTTGAGACCAGAAATCTGA